CCCCCCCCCCCCCCATGATCCATGACCTCACTCATTCCCCAACTTGGGCACTGAAAGTAAATGTCTTCCCTGTTTGCCAAGAAATGATAAACCAGTGAATAGGAGGCGATTGTCCTTGCATTCCCCTCTGGTATGCCAAAGGTGCAGGATTCAAATGACTGGTGCAATTGAATATGTAAGCATATTCAATTGCACCAGTCATTTGAATCCTGCACATTTGGCATACCAGAGGGGAATGCAAGGACAATCGCCTCCTATTCACTGGTTTATCATTTCTTGGCTTATTCACTGTATTTAATTAAAAGCTATTAAAATTACTCACCAATAATACAACTAAAAAAATTCAGAAATAGTAAAATACACCTATAATATACTATATGCTATATTTATAAATTCCAATTGGCCATTTTAATATAGGGCCATTTATTTTAATATAGGCGGGTATTAAATAGGAAAAGTGACCAATACCAAAAGCATAATTATTAATAAAACACAATATATTACACCATTAAAACTTTACTATCGTAAATATATATTATTAAACATTTTATATTTACAGTGTGCTTAAAATTTTACAATTATACTTGAGCACAATCTTTTAATAATCGACAACTTTATTACAAGAAAATGTTAAAATGAAGAAACTTTTTAATGGCTTCATAATTGAAGTTTCTTCGATATTGCTGCTTACTTCTACATTATAATTGTCCATTCTGTTATTTTCTTTCGCTCGGTTTGCAAATTATCTCCATTAATCCATAGAAAACAAGCATTATACGTTTGTATTTCTTTGTATTTCGAACGCGCACTCCTTGAAGGCAGCCATATTGCCGAATATAACCATCCACTTGACGAATAAACTTTTCATACTTCACTCTATTTCCAACGACCAATCAAATCACTTCTGCTCCGGCTTGTCCCAGGGCTTACGGCAACGCAGGCAGCCGAGAAACCCTGGGAACGAGGATGGTCGTGTACTCGTGTTATTCTTTGCTATATTTTGGCTTCAAAAATATCTTGATTTTATCTTGAATTGGCTGTCTTGTTTTCACCATTCTACTTGTGATATTATTCCAAAGTTATCTATCAACATGGAAACTTATCCTCATCTGGTAAGTAGCCAAATACCACATTTTATTATATACATTTATACAGTATAAGAACAATCATTGTGTAATATTTTACAGGGACCGCAGAGACGGGGGGGGGGGGCTGGGGGGGCTTTTGCCCCCCCCA